ATTCTCAAGATCTTAATGAATGATTCAACAGTTCTCAACAATTCTGTTTTTGGTCACTCTTAGGATTCCCTCATCTCATGCTTTTCTCATCCCTCTTCCATATTTCACATGCTCATATTCTCCTACAGGGTTCATACACTTTTGACCTGTTAAAATTCCATGACTTCTTCCATGACCTTTTGAAAGATTCCATGACCTGTTTACAAACATTCTCACAATGCGTGCTTCTGTTTATTTCGAATGAAATTAAATCTGATTTTTGGACTCATCAGTTAACTTTTCAACTATGGGTCTTATTGCCTTTCACTCATAGAGAGCATATTGATTTTCCATGTCTTATCTGAGTCATTTATCCATGACCTAAATTTCATGACTTTCCAGGCTTGGAAAATGAAAGTTTGAAATTCCATGAATTTCCAGGTTTTCCATGACCTGTATGAACCCTGTCCTATGCTCCCTGCCTCGCAAACGAAACAAATTAAATACTTTGTAAATAAAAATAAAATATATTGATGCTGTGACCATACCAACAAAAGATCCAGTTTTTTAATGCCTATGTACACAGCAAAAGATAAGGGTTTATTTATACAGAACAGCATTTAACTGTGGTCTAAAATAAAAAACACAAGGGTACAGTCAAAAAAATTGATGAAGGTGATTATTGCATCTAATTTCTAAAAAAAGTGTACCTACGTTTTGACTCTAAAAGTAGATTCATTTGATGTACCTTTAGAAAATAACAACATAGAAAAGAGGAGCAAGCTTCAAAATCTACACAAGATTCTGATCAACAATTAAACTGTCAAGTTGACAGTATGTAACAAAGAAAGATCAAATTAAGAAACAAAGATATGGCTGTGAAGTTGTGGATAACACAATTTGAGAAAACATTTAGATTGGTTTGATCTTGAAGTGAAGACCAATTAGAGAAAACACCATACACTTGAGGTCTTGAACCAAGTAATAAAAACTTCTTACGCCATCAGGGTCTCTGTAAGACAACAAAATAAAAACAACTGCAAATTAAATCTTAACGTTTGTGGCAGATATGTCATAAGTGAAGATACAAGTTAATAATTTGATCAAACAACCCAAGTTCACAAGATGAAGATACCTTCTACTGATTCTTACCACTTTAGTTTAAATAATTTCCAAAACAATAATTTTCTAATTTGTAAACCCAGGATAGTACAGAATATCACTCATGTAGTTTTCAAGCCAAAATTGGTTGACTCCTCTAGAATCAAGAAATCAAAAAAATTAAATTGAGACTTGTAACAAAGCAAAGTAAACCAACTCTGCATTGCCTCGACAAAACAAACATTTATAACTACAAGATAACTTGGTCAAATAAGCCACCTTAAAGAGTTTCTATAGCTGAAATTTCAAGCCTTAGCTTTAGCCTTTAAGCAGGGTAGATGATGAAGTCTGTTTATATAAAAAATGAATGCACATACTTGCACTGGTTGACATCCACAAGAGATCCAATCTTCGAAGTTGTGAATGAAATATGCTGATTATCCATGACTATTTCAAGTTCCTGCAGATAAATTAAAAGATTTTGATATAGAATATGGAAAAGCATTGATGCTGGAGTTATTTTCATCGACATCTCTTACTATCCACAAATTTAAAAAAATCCTACCTGTCTACCAACTCGGTCTGGCTGGGGCCAAAGGGTGTCATCTTCTTTCAGTATCTGCATTTGGGAGATGCAAAGGAATAAAAACTCATCAAAAATAAATTATAGCATCTGTAGCATACCCAACTAATCAATATATTATGAAGGAAGGATGGAAACACTGATCATTAGAGAGGCCATCGGGTGGAAAATTAGACAGAATTACAAACCTCACTGTCTTCGATTATCCTTTTAAGTTCATCCATAACAGCCTTGTGTACAAATGCCTTAGATGAAAAAAAATATTTCATAGACAATAAACAGAAGGAAAGTGGTAAAAAAGGAACAATCTTGGTTTTTAACAAAGATTTATCAGCCTTGTAAGCAGTCTGCCAATTAACTGGACATTTTTTTCATCATGTTGGTTGCTTTCATCATTGCTGAGCGTCTCTCTCCTTCAGTATCACATTAGGAAACCCTCTACCTCACACAAAACTGTCGCTCAAGACACTGCAAAACTTCTCTGGTCATTTTGATTGGTTTGCAATCAATCAAGTCTCTTAATATAAAACACCTTGACAAACCATTAGACAAGAAGCACAAGACTTGGTTTTCTGAGTGTCTGTACGTCCCTACAGGTTTTCCCCTGGATAATACATGTCAAAACAGCTAAGCTACTGAGCTCTTTTTAAGATCAACGAACCGATGTCTCTTTTGAAGAAAACAGTCGCTTCTTATGATAATCACGGAATTCGTCGGATTCATGATCAGCTATAGCTTACCTCTTTGCGAATCATCACATCATTCTTGTAGTTCGAGTTGTTTGCATATCGAAGTTTTCCTAAAAATAGAACAAAAGCCTGAGAAACTTTACTATAAAGACGCTAAAAGATTGGATAATTTCCTTACCTTCAGGTCGGAATTCGAATTCTAAAAACTCGTGGCCAAATTTTCCTTTGTGTCCGACGTAGTAGCGAAGATAAAAGTCCGCCATTTTGTAAAGTTGAAAAGAAGCGTGCACGGAGAGTGAGTCATCAGTAATCAATGTCAGCGGCTTAAGTGAACTTTCATTAACGTAATCATGTATGATAGCTGAGCGACCAAAGCTCAGATGATACTGTTCGAACCGGGAGATAAAAAGGACTTATGCATTTATACGATAAAAAAGAAAACTTTAAACAACAGCTTTACATAAGATTCTTCTGCAAGATGAATCTCCAATCCGTTAAAGGATTCATTTTCGACAAACCCCTACCCGGCAGAAGTTACCATCTTTTACCAAATTTGTGACTAAGTTGGATTTGCTCTTTTCAAAAGTAGCGCAGAAGATTACAGTTCTAGTCGATATTCAGCTTATTACTAAGCTAGCTTTCAGTTCCTTTTTTTAAATTTTCGGGTCCTCTTTCCTATTTATAAGGACATTCCAAGTCGTTCGGTAAAATGACGGAATATTTGCATCGTTTTTGGTCGCATATTTTTTATTACGGATCATCTCGGGATTAAAGGAAGTCAGAGTAAAACTAAACGAAATCTGCTGCAAATTTTGTTCCTCGTGTTTTTAGCGATAACGCAGTTGTGACCTCTCTATCAGTTTACTCGTCTTCTCGCCTTTCAGCATGCTATCAAAAAGAATCTGCTCATAACACACGCATATACACGCACACACACATACACGCACACACACATACACGCACACACATACACGCACACACACATACACGCACACACACATACACGCACACACACATACACGCACACAAATATACACCCTTCTTCGATGTCGATGTTTTCTAGTTTTTTTCATTTTTTCCACTGATTCTTCTTTCTGTTGATATCATACGGCGCCTGAATCTTGTTGCCGCTAGCTTTGTGGCATTTAAATGAGGAACCATTGACGTGTTAATTTACCGCTAAATACGTGTCTTCCCCCTGTAAATTAGCTACGAGCAGTTAATTTACAGCTCACTGCATTTAAAGCATGCCAGACATAATCGAGTTCCAATTTCCAAACGTGCAACAACTGGAGAATCGTACACAATTCGTGAGCTGCAAAACAAGCTTCAAACGTTAACTTGAATGAATATACGGGACAAAAAGGGCGGTGCATAGGACGCTAACTGACTTTCCGCCTTGTCTCAATTACGCCTCATAACGGAAAAACAGTCTAAGGCTAGAAATTAACCTTACGACTTTGACGTCGACACACCATTGTTCGCCAGTCTTATCGGGTGGCAGTATAATTGTTGTTTTCGCGAACGTTGTTCTGCAGTCAAGAAATAATGATTGATACGAACTTCTTGTTATTCATGCTAGTTTTTTGTTTTTTGTTTTCTTTTTAATCATCTCTTGGCGAGATTTCCCATACTTGATAAGTTGTTTGCTAAATTGCACGCTCGGGCCATGGTTTAGAACCTGCGCAGTCTCATATCTGTCGGTTCAGTTGGAGACATAATCAACTAGTTTGTGGGAAATATAAAAGAAGCAAAACATTCAACTCAGGAATTTTCCTTAAAGGAAAGGCTGAATATAAAATGAGTTACTTGTTCAGTTTAATGGTTTCACGCAAGGCTTAGTCCATACATTTGTCCCACGGCTACCGCACGCGCCAAATTAATTATAAGCGGTGGAAAGGCAGTCTCCGACCCAATCAAGTGTTTTGTCCTACCAAAGTGGAAAAAACCGTTGAAGAAATAAAAAGCTAAAAATAAAACTGACCTCAATCGATGAAACCGTTAGATACCATTTCATTAAAATCGGCTCTTGTGTGATCTGCTTAAAGCTTCCCTTATTGACAAAACGGGAACCGCTGCTTTGGTTCACAACTCTCCGGGTATTTTTCTGCTTGATTGCTCTCAGTAAAAATATACTCTACAGTTGATGACGGCGAATCTAAAGAATGTTGAAGAGCACAACACTCGGCCGGCATAGACCAGTTTAGATTCTGTCTTTTCTTTAATTGGACATTTCTGATCTTTTGAATAGTTTGAGGTGCTTGAAATAAAAAAGAGTTTTCCAGCGGAATAATGTACATTGAACAACATTTACTGAGTTACGCAACCGTGACGAATCATAAAGCTCTATTCTCGTCCTGTGTTTTTTGTCTCCGTGGTAACCAGAAATTTCTCTTTTTTAAAAGATATACTTCATACCTCTACACAATTGTTTAAATACCATATAAAAAGAGAAATTGGTCAAGAAATTGGCAGTTTCGTTTGACATGCTCACCTATCTTGACTGATCGAGCAGTTTACCCACAAGCGCTTCTGTTTGAGATTGGTTCATTCACTGAACATTTCCGCTTGTCACCAGGGATATTGTATTTCAAAGATCTTATCTAATTCAAAATTTATAACCCGTTACACCAATTCAAATCTCCATTTCACCGCCAAAATGCATCGGGGTAACTTCGCGTGGCTGTTTCTGGTCGTTCTTGTCTCTGCTGGTCTCCAACTTACGACTTGTGGTCCAGGTAAGCTACTTTCTTCTAAAATATCTCTCATTTCGGTTATTTTTCAATTTTTTTATCTCAGCAGTTTGCGTTTCTTGTCTTTCATTCATTTCAAACGAATTTCTTTACATTTACTTCAGTGAACACAGATAAACAACAAGAGAACGAATTAAGAAAGAGCAACTTGCCGTTTGTCCGGCAGTATGAAGAGGTATGCACGCCATCAATAAAGGCCAAATTATTTTTTTATTCGTATATGTAGCATAACGTTGTTTTGAAGGAGAGAATTTTCCATGGACCGTTAGAGAATAGGAACCTCTATTTCCTTCTGTACAGGATCAGTTAATTTGCATTTGTTTAAAGATTAAACAAAAGTTCGATCAAGACTACAGTTAAATGTAAAGGGGTCTAATCTACTGTTATTAAAATTAGCTTAAAGTTTTAAACTCCAGCTAGAAATTCATGTTGCGGTAGTGTTTTTGCCATACGAATGAAAGAGGAGCTCACTCGAAAGAAGTTTCAGAAATTGTAATCCTAAAAGCAAGCATCTCCTACAATATTATTTCGCCTTTTGTTTGTATGGGTTAAGCGTCAATGACGCTGCTAGTATTTGCACAGGGCTTTACCGGTCATCCAGAATTCAAATCTTACGAATTTGAATTGCTCGCGGGTGGGCTTGGCTAATTTTGAAAAGCAGAGAGCGGGAAATTAAAAATTCGGTTTTGAAAAGCGGCTAAGAACGTTCTCCAACGCTGCGATAACATAAATGCGTCAAGGCTGCTTTTAAGAGGAGTAAAGATTTGTTTTGAAAGAAAACAGATCGTGGCAAATAAACAATGCAACACTCTCTAGAAAAAACACGACATGCTGCCTGTGGCTCGTCTGTGTTTAGTGAGCAATTTTTTCCTACTGCCCTTTCAGATTTCAACCGCGTTCTGAATTCTTCTCATACCAGATAACAGCAGTTGTTCTTATATTGTAGAAATTTACGAATTTGTTTCCCACGAGGAATGAAAGCCGTGCGAAGTACTACGATTGATTTTATCACCTTTATCATGAAGTCACTTTCAAGAGTCCATTAATGATATTTCTCGTGCATAAAAGCTTCAGATATTCGCTATAGTGAGTACAGAATAAATAACTAGGTAACTGACTAATGCAATATAATTTTTTAACTAAAACGGTTAAATGTTAACAATGTACTTTTCTCTTCGTCGCCGTAATCGATCACGCGAATATCTACTTATTGGCTCTCTGTTGCTTATAATATTCGCTTGATACTTTGGCAATTATCCATAATGGTTATAATTCAAGGAAATATCATCAAGTATTGCCTTAGAAGGAAAAAAATGCCGTCGAAAAGGAAAAATTGACAATATATCATTCAAGATTATTTTCATGAATCAGATCACAGAATGAACTTTCAAATCCAGGACAGTTAAAATTCAAATGAAGTGGCTCCAATTTGAATGTGACGAAATGGATGAAATATGGACTGAAGACTTATTGATTTGTTTGTCTAGTCTGTCTGGGCCGTTAAACACATTCAAATGTAAATAAGAATTACGGCAATTTTTTTAATGAAGTAAACAATTCATGTCAAAAACAAATAACCGTTATTTTGATAGCCACGTATAACTTTTCATTTTATCAATATACGGTATGTAAAAGAAATAATATGCTAAAAGAATGCTAGTTGAAAAATATTGCATGCATCAAACGGCAATGCTTTCAGATACACGAAAAAGAGAGAAAAAAAAAAGATTGCATTAACAAGACAAAATCATGAATAAACTATGCTTATTAATGAGTGCACGGAAATTTCATTTCAGCCAAAAGCAATTGTTTCACCTCTCTTATTATGTACAGGAGAAAAATAACTTTTTTAAGGTCATAAAGTCCGTTAACTGCCAATAATGATTAACTTCCCACATCATTTTTTTATGTTTGACTCAATATGCAAACATTCCTAGGCTTGTAACCGTTTGAATAACAAACGCTTTGACCAATATTACATGTAACCATGTCAGGCTGGACTTTAAAATCGAACTGATAGTGATCATCGACTGGATACAAAATGAGTACCGAATTCGACGGTCTTTGTTCCTTGGTGACCCAACAACCTGCCTGAAACAAATTATACCACACGAATCGCAACTTCTACTTCCGAATAACAAAACTTGTTAAATAGTGACGAAGATTTAAGTGTGAACCATGAAGCTCAGTAACGACTTCTGAAAAACAAGTTAACCACGTTACTTACATTACGAAATCATATATTAAACACATTCAAAAGCTGATTTAATAAACCTTTGCGATATCGATGAGTCTGCCAGTAATTTCGGAAATAAAAACAAACTTAGCCAGTATTTTTCTTCGAAAGTTAAGCAACAGAGCATAACCAAATATTCAACAACTATTGTACCAGGTGAAGTGTCACATCATGGATTGTTACGGGCGCCCAAATCTTTATTTTCCCGAAACCGAGGGCTGAAGCAAATAATTTATGTGGGTGACACCGAAAAACTGATGACGTCCAATTGTGGTAAGACCGAAAAAGTGGCACCCAAGACCATAGTTAATTGACAAGGCGCAGCTGAGTTGTTCCTGATATTCTTACCATGTTTTGACATCTTTGATCTACCATTGTCTATAGACCCACGACAACATGGATTCTATTTGTTTTATATGATAAAAAAAGAAAAAAAAAAAGAAAAAAAAGCAGAACGTTGTTAATAGTGACGCCATTTATGTCTCTGTTCATAGGCAAGAACAGGAGAATATTAAAAGTTTGTGATATCTTGGCGAGAATCAATCAAACTGTGTGTACAGTTCACCATAATGGCTATTTAGGTTTTACGTAAGACTTGAACGCACTATGTTATAAGAGACCACCATGAAGCCACCAATCAAAATGCGCGTATAATACAGCTTCTCGCATAACATGTAATCGAAATCCAGCTATACCGGGCTAATATCGATCATTACTGTTACGAGTACCGGTAGTTTGTCTCACAAGTCCCTATCGATTGTCCGGCAACTGATTCTCTTATTGGCCACACCCCAAGTAAATACACCGGAGATCCCTGATGTTCTTTGAAATAAACTCAATGCACTATGGAGAAGAAAAATTTAAAACTACTCTCGTCGTTTACTCTTTCCTTAAGCAGAAAAGTAAAAAGGTAAAGTCTGTTTACGAGCCTAGTGGCCCATTAGTCGAGCGCACCAACAATGAGGACACCGCGCCTCCAACTAAGTAGAAAAGTAACAATAATGTATTTTAAACGCATCTTTTTAGCTGCTCCTTGGTATTTACAGGTTTTCCTAGAGATCTCTACATTTTTCTGCTTCCCCCCTGATGCTTCTCAATTTCTCCAAAAAAATTTCCTGACATTGTGATTAGGCCTATGTATATAGATCTTAGCTGATTTCGGTTTTGTAATAAATATTTAGACTAATATCTACAAGTAAATGTAGCCAAGCCTGCAAGGGGAAATATAGCCAAACCTACAAGGAGAAATGCAGCCAAGCCTATAAGGGCAAATGTAGCCGAGCCTACAAGGGGAAATGTAGCCAAGCTTATAAGGGGAAATGTAGCCAAGCCTCTAAGGGGAAATGTAGCCAAGCCTATAAGAAGAAATGTAGCCAAGCCTATAAGGGGAAATGTAGCCAAGCCTGCAAGGGGAAATATAGCTAAGCCTATAAGGGGAAATGTAGCCAAGCCTATAAGGGAAAATGTGGCCAAGACTGCAAGGGGAGATCTGATTGTCACAGTTTCCACCGTAATAATGAAGTTGAGTCCTATTAGACGGGGCCCACTTGGATGGGAGAATCAAAAAAAAAACTTCGTTTTTGACCTTTCGTTTAGTCTCAAAATTTTTTTAAACCTTAGTTCGTAGACATCTCAACAACTTTTAACTGGCCTTAGCTCTCTCGAAATTTAGAATTTTATTTGCCAGGTGGGCAAATTTAAGTTTTAAAGTCCTACTTCGCTTGCCTTTAAAAAGTCATTTGAATCAAAGTAAAAATTTGACGGCATGGTTTATTTTGGTCACCGTAATAGGCACCTAGAGGAGATCCTGGCTCATTCCTAGATGATACTGAAGTCCCAGACCGAATGTACAAAAGAATTTTCTACACAGGACCCAAAGGCAGATCATCCCAAGGTGATACTGAAATCCCAGACCGATTGTACAAAAGAATTTTCTACACAGGACCCAAAGGTCTCGTAGACAACCAAAATCCAGAAAATCAAGGAAGCGATTCATCAAAGACAAGACCGATGGACGAAAAGAAGCCTCTTCCAGGACGATTTCGAGAATTCCAAACCAGTGATGCCGAACAAAAGCTGAAGACGCTGATGGCTTTAAGAGATCGTGCGAAGGCCATCCATGAAGATCTTGCCCACTCAGTGTTAGAACAAGAGGCATTGATGGAAAATCGTCGGGGAACAGCTGCGTAAAGCTCCTAAATGAGATGAGCTCCTGAAAGCCGGATTGTAGAGACAAAAGATTAGTAGTTAGCCTTTAGAGAAGATAGAAAAGAACATAGGGACCTGATAACAAAGTCACCTAGCCAAGAATAACTTGACAAGTTCAAACTGTTTTTGTTTCATGTTTTGCAATGCACTGCAGTTTATCTATTTTTAGAAATTTCCTCGGGTTTTAGTTTTCTTTCTTTTTACCCGAATACCTAAAACGAAAGTTAACCTTTGAAGCCAAGGTTTTTTTTTTAATATGTTCTGGTATAAAACTGATTCGGTTCGCTTCCGTAAAAGCCTTGTCGACGTAGTATCTTCTTTAAGGCTGTTTATATATTTTTTTTTTTTACCAGACTGGAACAGAAATACCGTTTAGTGTGTAGTTTATGCACGGGGCGCCTACTATAGTCACGGTTTACGTTTCCAAAATAGATCTACCAAGTTTATTTAGGTATTAAAAAAGTATAATCCACAATGATATTTTTCTTTGGTGGTAGAGTATGTATTTAATCTTAAGACTGAATGATATTATTCTGTTGCGTCAGTGCTAATGTAATTATTATCATGTAAATCAATTTGAGTCAGTAAAGAAACGAGTAACCACGAAACTGGATTGAGTTTTGTGACAGCTTCAAACGCAGTTTTCGGGGAAATAGCAAGAGGTGCGCTGAGATGTGATGCACTCAATGGCTATTCCTATCTATAGCGAATAATTAGGTGTTCCTTTTCGGTCAAGGAGAAGGGAGGAATAGCAAAAAAGAATGGAGTGGGATACACAGAGATATGAATCTCGGCAAAAGGTCCTCTCTTTCTTATTAAAAAATACAAAAATGTGAATTGTATATCGAAAACTCAGTAGTCTCAAGTTATTTAGGAAGGGTTGATATTCCAATTCCCATTTTCTAGTCCGCATAGCTTGGCATTAGGAAAAAAACTGGACTTGAACTTTCCTCTTCGAAACGCCTCAACATGCAGTAAGACCGCCATGTTGGAAATCTGTGAAAATAATGCACCGCGGTCGTAGGCCGCACAACACCTGCTTTTTTACCCTGTTTTACTACCTGAGCGCTGGAGCAGCTAACGAGATGATTGTACAGTAGCACTGATGAGAGCCTGCTTACAGGTTAGAGCGTAGGTCTTTTACGTAAGCGGAAAGTGATGACCATGTTCGCAGGCTTAGTCGCGTTCCGTATCCGAGCAGGCTTAAGGGAAGAGCAAAGATTTGGAACAATTTAGCAATTTAAAACCCCAACGGATTATAAAGTGCCCTCTTTAGGTAGACAAGCAGACACTTGCCTTCAAGAAAATATTCTCCTCACAAATAAATTTTCTGTCGAAGACTGTGTGCTTACTGAATGTAGACGCTTATACCAAAAAAATTAATTATTTCGTAGGCCACCATTTACAAAAAGGATAATTTCCTCGGTTTTTTTTTATGAGAGTAGTTTCATTCATCGGTTGTGAGACGAATACGAAAGAAGGGATCGAAATTCACTCAAAATTATCCAAGTATATTAGTAATGAGTGGGATACGGGCAAGTTTAAGAAAGTTCAAACCTTCACTCTATTCTCAGAGGCTTCAAAATCGAATTTTTTCCTTTACTAGTTTCTTTACACTTTTCCCAATTTTAATGTTTATTACTAGCTTACCATAAGCACCCCTTTATAACTGAGAAAGCTGCCATGTGATTAGGATACAAAAACGGCTTACGACAAAATTGGTCACCGTTTTCAAATGCACTTATAACTCGATATGTGCACGCTAAACATAACTTAAAAGTTATGCTTAGCGTGCACGTATCGAGTGCATTTGAAAAGTTGCTCAAATGTAGGTTATCGATAGGAACTCCACCTTGTTGGGTGAGTGTTAATAATAAGCTAAATCGTAATTCTAAAATACACATGCACGCGAGTTAGTTTAAAAACATGTAGATGATAAGTCAGAAATTTTGTTTTTCTTGTACTGCGAAACCTGTTTTAAAGATCCTTTAAGGGATATGTTTTTCGCTTTTTTCGATTACAACGTTATTTATACTAGTTGTGTATCATTGTAGACCAACGGGACAAGCGCGAGATCCATTTTATGATCGATTCAGACGCTAGAATTCGGTGCATTCGTCTGTGTAAGTTGTTTGTCCTGTTCGAAATATTACCTTCAGTTGTTTTCCGCGAGCCAATCGCCTGCAAGGCCGCCAAAGGCTTTGAATAATGATAACCGAACGAATAAAACTTCATTACTATCACTTGATTTCACGGCTTTCTACATTTTAATGGTTCGCGATAGGGCGCTTAGTTTATATTCCCTTACCAAATTTAACATCAAAGCTCGCCTTTATTTTTGGCTCTTGAAGTTCGTAGACGTTCCTAGAAGTTTGACGCGTCAATCTTTTTAATTGCACAGCGCTAGATCGTACAGCGAAGAACTACTCGGTGTGAAGAACTCATATATCCCTTCAGATCCTTTCACAATATTTAATTACTTACTCCCTTCGACAAAAATGGACGTGTCCCTTTAGTCCTTCATTCGATACTATGTATTCGATAGGCCAGTTTTGTTAGTATGCTTAAAACTTATCAAGGCAACACAAGTAACGTACCGGCTGAGAGAGATATTACAAACGGATATAGATTCATTTCCCTGTTGAGACTCACAAAATAATTGATTTTGAAGGGGCACGTCAGTTGCGAAGGGAGGAAAATAGTAGCGTTCAATAACTCATGGTCTTTCATTTAAATGCAAATACTTTCCGTTGGATCACAGAACAGCATGACCGTAGCAAAACATGCACGAATCATAGTATTCTATAGGAAAATTCATTACTTGACGCATAGTTAATCGATGCTTGACGCTAAAACCGATGTCGCACGAATCGCGAAGGGATCAGTATGATATCGGTTTTCAAGTGAAATTTGACGGGGAATTCAAGAGTCAAGTAATGGATTTTCCTTGAATCGCAAAATTGAATAAAAATAAGAAAAATAAAGGGAAACAGTACTACCAATAGCTGTTATGTATACGTAGATGCGAATCAATTATCACTTAGCCTCGTTTTCGACTCGAAATTTCACGTTAAATACCTCGCTTCGTTAGACAATCAGAATGCGAGATTTTAAAGCGAAACGTATGTCAATTGATGTTACAAATTTTGAATTTTAGAAATCTCAAAATTTGTTCGAAAAAGTACCTTAGGTCTACTCAGTATTCTTAGTTTTTCTTGTATACATTAAAGCTCTATCGTGTCTAGTAATTTCGTTGCATGTTTTCAGAGTCTGGTAGGTGTGAGGTTCCTCTGAACAGGAAAAAAAAAACTGCTTTCAGGAAATATCCTGTTTGCACGCTGTTTTTAAAAACGTTCCATCAAAAGTAAAAGCGTGCGAGCTGTAGGTAGAGAAGCACTTTTCTCCTCCTCCCTAAGAAACTCACCCAAAGGCGACAGACAGACAAGCTTGACAGGAATTAAATTCAAAGCTAACTATTTCAAGAAGTTCTCAAAGCAATTTATTTGATAATTTAACGCGTACTGCACCACTACTGTTGATCGGATATTTAATTTACTAAAAAAAAGTTGTCAGACGCCTCATCTAAATATGAATTAGAAAGAGACGTCAGGCGAGTTTCTTTTCACGGTTTTTCATTTCAACAACAACAACGGAACTTCTGTTGTGTTGAATAGCGATAATTTGCGATTGTATTTCCTCAGAGAGGCATCAGTGACTCTGAACGCTTCACTGCATGCTCCACAATTCTTCCTGACGGAAAAATGATGTAAATTCCAGACACGTTTGATACTATCACTTGCAAACGAAAGTGGGTTCGGTTCAATAGCTGTTTATCATGTAGTTCAAAAGATTGGACCCCAAATTACGCGAAACTGTGGATTGTAAAGTTTATTAAACAATGTTAGCTCAATGGATAGAGCGCTGGACTGATGTGCGGAAGGTCGAGGGCTCGAGCCCCGGCCGGACCAACACTCAAGGTCTTAAAATAATTGAGAAGAATATGCTGCCTTTCTATAACAAGAAATGGTTAGATATTCTAGTCTTCTCGGATAGGGACGAATAAATGGAGGTCCCGTCTCCTGCAGGGTTAGAGGTAGGAGACGTTAATTTCCCACGCACGAGATTACTGTGTGATGGATGTCCTCCCCTGGGGTGGGATGAGTGGGTTGTTGTCTTGCGTTTCATACATGAGCCTCTGGCTCGGGCAATATGGGTAACCATGCCCCACGTAAAGACTTTAAACTTTGATTACTGATCACTGAATGCAAATTTCTCTCTAAAATTAGTCGAGACATTTGTGTCATACTTAACTATGATGTTTATGCTGAGAAGCCGCAGAAATCGAGTTTCATCTGAATATTGACGCAAATTAATATCGATCTTACATATAATGTTTAGAAACCAAACACGTTCTCCAAGTTAAATTAGCAGTTGCGGCAGTTGTCGCTCGAACACGAGGCCTTAAACAGTGCTCGTAACAGCGGAACACGGGTACCAGCTACAAAAACCTGCCAGCACCAAGTGGACAAACGTGTACAGCAAAGTTCACCGGTAAAATAGATTTTGAAATATCTTTTAAATCATAAAGGACGGTGTTTTTTGAGAAAGATGGTATTTCAGAAAATAAGAAGATGAACATGTTCTGTAGCGATGGCGATTTCCTCTTCGCGATTTCAGAGAGTCACGTTGTATTTCTTGCTGGTTTTGGCAATGATTCTCGTTTATCAAATTTACCATCATGGAGGCAAGCTGCTCAGTAAAAAGCAAGAAGAGCTCAAAGGCGATTGGACCAAGAATTTGCAATCAAATCATGTGAAATTGTCACGGACAAACGCAGCTACAGAATCATCACAGCCGATGCGGAGGGACCTGAGAAAAACCGCTGAACAAGGGAATCCAATATTACAGATTGAAATGAAGAGATTAAAAACCCGCATGACTCGGAAAGACGAGCTTATTGAAAAGCTAACTGCTCAGCTAGAAAAGGAAAAATCTCGAGCAGAAAAATCCAATCAGGTGATTGGCAACTTGAGGCTTGAAAACACGCAATTACAGGCGGAAGTCGAGAGTTACTCCCATGGGGTCACAAGCGGTAGAAGTGAACAAAACACTGGTGTAAAGAAAGAACTCTTATCCCTGGATAAAACATCTCCAAAAATCACTGATAGTCAAATATCACAACGAATTCCATTTCAGAGTTTCGCCAAAACGCATCTTTTCGAAAGCTCCCCTCGAAAGAAACCGAAAGAGTATATCTTTCATGGTCAAAATTCGAACACGCGGAAAGTTAAATCCGGAGAGCGCCATCTTGTCCAAGCACAAGACGTCGGTGTTCATTTTATCAACACAAACACGTCATACCACGTAAACCGTGAGAACATGGTAGATGGGGTCTACAGAATCGATATCAACACTGGTATTGACTATGAACTGTATTTCAAAGATCCGTCTTCGAAGAAGTTTCTAACAGTGCGGCTTATTCGTCCCTTGGGTGTCGTGCAACCAGTTGCTCTCCCGGAGGACAGCAGAGGTCCTAATGAACTTATAAACATAATTGTTCCTCTATCTGGGCGCCTTGAACGATTTCAACAGTTTATGGATATGTTTGTGGAAGTGTGCATTAAAAGTGACGGAAACGTGTTTCTGACAGTGGTCCTATACGGAGCCTCTGATTTCAATACTGTAAAAACTACTCTTAAAGATCTGGAAGTTACGTATAGTTTTAAAAAGTATCAACTTATCATGCGAGATAAACCGTTTTCTCGAGGGAGAGCTTTACATGACGGTGTAATGTACTGGAGTGGCAACCCCAAAAATATTTTAATGTTTTTTTGTGATGTAGACATAACGATTCGTCCTGATTTTCTTCGACGGTGTCGCATGTACACTCAAAGGAAATCGAAAGTCTATTTTCCGATGGTGTTTAGCTTGTTTAATCCAAAGAATGTCTACGAACATGGAACTATTCCACCACCTGCAGAACAACTTAAAATTGGTAAGTAATTGTTTTCATCTGTTTTCTAGTCAACCTGGTAAGCTAACAGAAAATGGCTCGGGTTGACTGAAGGAAGTTCAAGGTTATGCACTTTGTTGCAAGTGCCGAGATGAGAGGTTCGTGCCTACATTTCTGTTTCTCTCTTCTTTTTTAAAGCATTGATTAGAGAATTGATTTTTTTGTGCGAAGGTTTTCTACGGGTGATCCAAGGTCACATCTTATCTTTAACCGCTAAATAGCACTGAAAGATCTCTCGGTATCCCACCACGGTAGCCATCTTGGCCGGGACTGATTGCAACACCGAAAAACTCTGGGCACCAGTGCAAAGTTATTCTCAAATCACTCGTTCTTGAGGTGATAGTTAAAGTTATTTGGTCATGCTCGTTACAAGACGAATAAACATCATTAGTTAGGTTTTGGTAGAACAAACCAAGTTGGCATTTGGCATTTTCCCCCGTATTATGCAGTCGAGAAAACCACGTCGTAAACGTTAAAAAAAAAAAAAAGACACCTTCCTTAATATTCAAATTCTGTCTACACTTATCATTTGATAAAAAAAGAGTCGTAGCATTCTGATAAGTCGCAATTAAAGATCTTGGTTACAACGGTTTTTGTGTGAAAGAGGAACTATGAATATTTCATTTTTATTAAGAACTTCACATTCATACGATACATAATCAAACTAACTTATAGAGCACATCCTGGTTCCGTAAAAATCAACAATGTCAACCTTTACCTAAGAATCACATCGTGAAGAAATTTCAACGTTTTCATGTTTTGTAGACCGGAAGTACGGCTTTTGGCGTGAATATGGGTTTGGAATGACTTGTCAGTACAGAGCAGACTATCTCCGTGTTGGTGGATTTGATTTAAACATTGAAGGTTGGGGGACAGAAGACTTGGGATTGTACCAAAGATATCTGCAACAGGCAAACATCAGGTAATATTAATGTTATGTTTTAGTGAAGCTCTTCGATTTTGCATATGTCGCGTAACGCAAAACTGCTGTAAATCTCTCTTTTGTCTTCCGCGAGTCGACGACAAAGCGATCAGAATAATTATCGGTTTAACCAAACTAACATAAGAAAAGCTACTCCTCAACGTAAAAACTTGTCATATCTGCCAAGGAAAACCAAAAAAGAACCTGCGAAACTGAAAGAGTTTTGAAATGTGGTGGTGATACAAGTAAAAAAAGGAAACTCTGGGAAAAACCTTTTTGAGTGTGCATGAGTTATGCAACTCCACATTCACTCTCAAGTAACAATTTCTCAACACCCATTTCCTCATTTACCATCGCTCTGAAGAAGGGCTTACGCTCTAAGCGTCGGCCTTGAAACTTTTTACGATGGCTTATTTACATTATCAACTCAGTTGATAAAACCAAATTACCTCATTTGTAATACCCCACTGACGCAGCCGGCACCATCTTTAGAAACTGACCCCATTTACCATAACAACGGTTTGGCGTATCGAAATTTGAGGCAATTACAATATTGTTTACTTTTTATCTGTTTCAGAATCATTCGCGCCCCTGACAGAGACCTTTTCCATCAGTACCACGACAAAAAGTGTGACCCCAGCCTTTCTGAGGAGCAGTACCGGTCATGCCTTGCATCCAAGGCAAAAGTTGAAGGAACACAGACTCAAATCGCTATACAGCTGACGAAACTTAGAGAGAAGTATGAATCAGAGTTACAGCCTGAGAACGGATACTGAGTTAAAACGGTTGAAAGAAACATCACAGCCCGTGCCACGTGACCGCATGCGAGGAAATAAACAGAAGATGAAACAAGAGACAATGCCAAAGCTGGGCTGGATTCAATCGTGAACGAAGTTGATTGTTTCCATGGCACAACAGATTACATCAACGCCAAGAAAGTTTCGAAATGTTCCGTTTGTTGTAAGCTGTCTGGAAGTTCAAATTTTACAAGATGTTTCTGTTTGAATGGAACCACAATTCTGATAAATTTTTGGACGAATGTTAAAAATTGCAACAAATTTACGTCCTAGTTCGAAAGAAAATGAAATAAATACAGATATTGCTGAAATCTCCATCCCTGCATGAATTCGTATATGGCTATTCTTTGGCCGATTCCTTTGGTCCAGTTGAAGAATGTGTGGCCAGCTTCGAGCAGTTTTACTCTCTGTACCTGTCGCGTGTCGTAACGAATTCTATGGCAAATAACACGGCATTGCAAACAAACTCGGAAGACTGGCCGGAATCAGATACTGAAAAATCTCAAAAAATGAGAGAGCCCATTGCGCGTACTATTTCTCTTACAGGGGGCTGGCAATTAGCTGTATCTTTCACTAGTTCCCTTGCTACCAGCTGAACTCTTACTTATTCAAAAAATCGTGTTTCTTAGTAAGGCAACATAAGTTATGGCTTGTGAAATAATTGCCACAATTCCTCTATACAAAGGGAAAGCAAAATAGATTAACCTGTGCACGTTAAAGGTACGGCGTTTAAGAAAGAAGAAATTAAATAACACTATGATTTAAAGCTTTAACTTCACCTCAGTTTTCAATACCTTTATTTTTCGACACATAAGAATATAGTCAAAACTTGCCACCGCCTGTAAATACTAACTTTCCCTCGGAAAAAAAAAAGCGAAACCGTTTCAGAAAAAATTAGTTATAAACTCCGCTTAAAATGAGCCATGATTAGAAAATGAATATTTCCTTCGCAAAGTATTGTTATGAATGGAAGATGTTCCAATTCCTATTGGAATCTTTTCTGCGCTAAAACGCAAGCTTCGCACAAACATTAATCAATGTTGTAAGAATGAATGAATGCATTTTGAACCAAATAAACTAATTGGACATGTCCTTTGTAGTCGCAAAAATCCACTATTGGAGACAGCTGCAAGGTTTGGTGAAACCAACTCTAGCGCTCACTGACACAATTGCCGAGATATATCTCGCTTATGATCAAAATTTTCATAAAATGAAAAAGGATCAAACTATTTTCACGATACTACAAAAGCAGCAGTTTGTAAATTGCTGAAAAAGAAAACAACAATACAGGAAAAAAAGTACAGTGAATAATGTACTGAATAAAGAAATTCGTAAAGAAAAACCTGTTGCAAAATCAGGACTTGAGATCAAAGTGAAAGTTTTCCTTACAACTTCAAAATAACTTATCAGACAACCAATGAGACTGAAAAAAGCACAATTGTAACAGCTGTCTTGAAGTTACAAAACATCATCAGACCTGACAAAATAGGGAATTCATGCCAGAAAAGACAAATGCCAATCGGATAATTAATGATGACCAAGCTAAGTGTTAAGTTGATGAACACACTCGTCAAAAACAAATCCAAAGAGAAGATGCATTCTTCAAAAAAAACTTTTCATTTGACTTAACAGGAGATTAGCCCGCAATAGTATGAATTTCAGTCTCTTTTATGCAGTGCACAAAACTACTCACTTTCAAAGCGAAGTGAGCCACAAAATATATGATTTTTGAGACAGAAAAACACAAAAACAGGAGGTGTCCCAAAAAGTAAAAACTATGGTGAGAGATGGAGAAGATCGAAACGGATTGCAACCTGACCACCACCACCACCACCTTGGGAAAGTTTTTGAAGCTTCTTAAAACAAACTGCAAATTAAAATAGCAGAAGGTGTAAAGCTTAAAAATTTCATTCACAGCTTTACAGCTATTCCGTCTGATCAAACTTACTCTGCGTAATGAAAAGTACAACAACTTTTTGTAGCTACAGGGACGCCACAAGAAAATCGAAGATTCGCGACACTTGAGTTCTACTTAGGAATACCCCGCAAAAATTCTCAAATTCACTTCCAGTCTCTTTTGTTATTTTAACTTACTCTTAACATGGCGGGTTGATATTCAGTTGGTCCCTTTACAACACTAGCAAGAATTAGCAACATACGCATATCCTTATAGAGGTACCTACTTAATTATCAACACAGACTACAACTTTGAGTTCAAGAATACAAGTTGAAAAACAATACACAAGTTCTGCCTTGACACTCCAGGCACAAGCTTACCAGGAGGGGATGACCTGGTTAATTTTTAGAGTCATTTCCTCTGTATCCATACAGATTTATTCACAGATAGAGTAAACCTTCATCACAGAAGTACATTAAAGAATTAGAATAGCAATATTCTTGAGTGTTACTCTTAATCGTCCTCCTCCTCGTCCTCCTCTTCTTCCTCTTCTTCTTCCTCTTCTTCTTCGTCTTCTTCCTCAATAGCATCATCATCTTCACCATTTACATCGCCATTCTCTACCCTATCCAGTCGAACTAAAAAAACAGAAATAAAGAAGTCGCTTCAATAATTTGAACAGAAAATGGCTCTGAGGCTTGGGGGAATAAAAATAACTATTCATCCTTCAACCTCAGAGTGATTTCTTTGGTTTTATTCCCCAAGCCTCTGAGCCAAGTTTGAATTTTGATCTATCGAAAATGGCCTATTACATGGAAACCTGTATCAAGGGGACCTCATATTAAGCAGATAGGAGCAGAAGTCCAGGATAACTCCTCCCACACTTACTGATACAAAAATCACGCCCTTTCGAGGCTGTGGTCTAGTGGTGCCCAGTGGCCCCTGGCTCCTTAGTACTGCTCATGGGTGACTCAGGAATTTTAGTTTTTTCATACAAAGCATATGCTTGGGCACCCTGGATTTCGCAGTTTCAGAGCACTGGACTCCTTTCAAATTTCCTTAGAGCACAGCCTTCCCTTTGTTACCCGACACCTATACCAAGTTATTCTCTCTCTACCCTCTGAATTGTTACTGATCACTGACTCTCTTCCATTTGGAAGCTGACAGCAACAATAGCTTTCTGCTTACCAGTTCACTTATCAAGTGAACACTAACAATATGATCTGGTTTGGAATCCCAAAGCCCAGTAAATTTCTTCCACCTGTTCACCCACTTAAATATTAATAACTTACTTGAATCATTGTTTCGCACCATCAACTCTGCTGCTCTGATTCTTGGTCCTTGTGTATCAAAACTCATGCCAAAAACAAGCAGTGTTGAGTTCTTTTCCAAAGAGGTGACAATTTTTTGTTCAACTTGACTACCAATGATGGCAGACTATGAAGAAAAGGATAAAAAAATGGCTCAATATTATAAAGTAGCAAAGTTTAACCAAACCATAAAAAGATTGCTGAGCATGCTTTACTTTATTATCAGTCGCCTTGAAACATAAAAATATTTTCAAATAGTTCATAAAAAAATATTCACCTGATTGGCTAGCCTCAGCGCTGTCAAGTTGGTATTGGTTTCTAGAACTTTCATGATTGCCTGAAAAAAAAAAATTAATAAAGAAACATCGATGCTGTTCATTCCTTAGAAATAAACATTTTACTTCTCACCACAAATATCACATGTTACTTAAAGCAGACTGTCGACATTAAAGGAAAAAAGATAATCTAATTATCACATGTCTGGCATATATTACCAGATTTAAAGACAATGAAATGAAATACTGGCAGTCAAAAAAGGGGGAGGGTGCTCATTTGTTGTTTATTAGACATTACGTCTTTCATGATAACTTCTTTCCAAAAAATTTGGTATACATGTAGAACTTCACAGAAAAAATTGTTGAGTACCACGTTTTATACAACTGCTTTGTATTTTGGTAAAATACATCTAGCTAATTGGTGTTTTTCATCAACCCTTGTCAGCCAGAGTAAATGCATGGGAGATTTTAACACAACTTTACACAGGTTACTGCAAAAATGAATGTCAGAAATAATGCCTCTTACACACCATGATTCCATCTCCAGTCAAAAAGTTAGACTCCAGGTTGATACTTTCTAGGGTCTTGTTTTTACTCAGTGCCTCTGCAAAGATCTGAGAGAACCAAACAGCTATTTATTTTCAAACAAAATGTAGATGTTTACTATACAGCTGACTTTTATTGCAACCTGGGCAGAAGTCCTATCTACCTGATTCACCCTTAAGATCATTATTTCCACTCAGATGGTCAAATATCACTCAACCTCAACTGTTATAGTCCATTCTAGACTACCCTCTTCTAGATTATCACCTTTCACTTGACCAGGCTGAAAAACACTTATTCTAAAAACTGTCTTGGAACATAAAGAGAAATTCTCTAAAAGATTGTAAAAAAATGAGACAAAAACTGTTTACATTCTCTAAAACATATTTCAGTTTTCAAGTTTCTCCTAAACAAAGATTACCTTAGCAGTCTTGTCTGTCATCTGTGTGTTAGCTAACTGAAGATGTTTAAGATTGTTGTTACTTTTCAATGCCTTGGCAACATCTTCAAGAATCTCTACAGTGACATCCCTATGATTGTTCAAGTTAAGATTTGTCAATTTTGGATCGTTTCTCTTGAGCTGCTCCATTGCTTTCTCCATGTCCAACTCATTGACAGCTGTCAGATCAGGCTTTTTAATCTTAGTTGCCTTTACAACACCTAGGATGAAGCAAGAAAAAAACAAATGATGTTTTATCTTTCAATGTACTTTTCCCACCCTCTGCTGAATTCAAATGAATGAGCTAAGCAATACAAGTATAAAACTGATCTAACAAGTACAGGCTCTAAGTCTAGAGTCCGTAATCAAGACAGGATCTCACAACCAAAGCCACCAACAAATATCTTATAGTTTTTGTCAACGGGATTGAAGATATTACAATGAGAAAGTCTGTCATGGTCATTCATAAAAGATATATATCTTATTAACCATGCGCGAGGGCTGTACTGGGAGAATAACAGCCTGAGGTCTTGACAGTATGGACCGAGCACAGTGAGGTCTGTACAAAAAAGATAGAGGGCTGATATTCTTCCAGTACGGTCCCGAGCAAGCTTGGTTAACAAGAGATTTATTATACGACTAAAGTTCAAAGCGACACAACTGTGGTATCATTTGGGACCATTTGGGACAGTGCACGGTCCAATACTTAGAGAATATTGGACCGGCAATAGAGCATTTTGATTGGTTGATTTTAGTTATTGGCCCTCTGACTGCTCGAGTCGTGTAATAAATAGGATTAAACCCTTTCATAAAAGCAGAGTTTTGTAAGTTTCCCAAAGACAAAAGTGCAGGTTGTACATAGCACCCTTGTTCTGCAGGAGCACAAGCCTGAGAATATATGAGTACCATAGTGTCCAACTCACCAGGTTTGTATTTCTTCAAACCACTGCCCCTTAAAGCTTTCCCAGCCTCCATCTTTTCAGCATAGTGACTCTGAGTTTGGGTTAACATACCGTGCACACCAAGTATGGCTGGAAGAATAATATTAAAACAACCAAGTTCAAAAGGAAAGGATTTCTACAAACAGCGCTAATACACTTCAGTATACTCTGCCAACTGGTAGCAGATCTTGGATATTTTTGGCAAACTTTTTTTCTGAAGTAAGAGTAATACAGTAATTATAGAAAGCTTAACACAAGTTTCCTTTTACCAGTAGCCACAACACAAAAACCCTTTCAAAACCTCTGTCTAAGATAAGTAGCAGCTTATGTATCCCAAAGGTTGTGTAAAATGTAGATGGTCATATAAACAAACCTACAATTTGTTACAATGCACTCTTGTTACCATAATCCCCCAAAATCTCAAACTTAAGACACCATTTCATCACCACTAGGAGAATGCAACTAAACAGCAAATTTTTGGAAATTTCTGGCTGATCCATTAGAATTTCATGATAACTATATTCCACTAATTACAGTAACAAAAGTAACATTTGATCAGTTGCAAAGAGATAAATAGTCATTCGATTTACCGGCAAGTTCCATCATTTCCTCATCAGTTGCATTGTCTAAAACTTCACTCAGGTCATCAGGGAGCAGTGGAGTTGGATCTTTTTTTCCTGGCTGCTCCTTTGGCCGCCAAACTTTGCCACGTGTTTCTTTCTTGTATGGGACATAGTCTGAACGTTCCTTCAGGTTCTTAGCCTGTTCTTCAAGGTGTTCCAACAGATGTTGTCGATCAAATGGTCCAGTGTTTTCCTTTTCTGTCTGGTTTTCCTGGCGCTCATGAACTGGGAGAAGCGCATTCTTTTAAAGAAATACAATGTGGAAGAAATGTTGAGTGTTTGTTGTTAAGAATTGAAAAACAAAAGTCTGAGTCTCTAATGAGGATTGGAACCTTCACTCAATTCCAGTTTACAGTCAGTTGCTCCACTTTAAGAGTCACAGGCAGGGCTCGAATTTAATTTTTGGATCACTAACCCTTCGGGTTAGTGGACATCTTTTTTACTAACCAAGTTATAAAGTTTGGTATCCACGCTGACAAGTTACAATATCTTAAATATTGAAAATTTTGATAAAAACTACTAGGACAAATTCAAGAGTAGCTGAAATTGCATGGTGACCCTAAAAACATTGAAAATTATGCACCTATATTATTTCCCTGTCGTTTACCATGATTAGTCAAGAGGAAAATCTACAGCACATGTACATCTACAGCACATTCTCTAAAAAGACCTTAAGTTGATTTAACAACTTGAGTATTCTAAGTATTCTTCTGAGAGTGGGGTCTATGTGCTCTTTGTCCGGATATCCACCAATGTTTAAATATGTTAGAAAATTTTACTAACCATGTCCAGTTAGTTGGGCACATTTTTAGTAACCAAACGTTGAAAATTACTAACCATTGGTTAACGGGGTTACCATTAATTTTGAGCCCTGACAGGGATCTTGTGTAAAAGCTGAGGGATACACTAGGTTAATAAATTTCAAACGGGTATTAAGACTAAAAGGTCACTAGAATTAATCAAATAACAACCTCTTATAATAAAGTTTTTTAGATAATTGATAATTTTCGCAACTGCTATAGCTGTGTACATAACTGCAAACTAAGGTATTTCATCTTTTCAAATTCGTAAATTTAGTTCTCAGGATGCAATGTCAGGGTTATAAAAACAGTTTTTCTCCTAGAGCACGACAAGACCATTAAAAAATCCAAAAAAGTATTTTTTACCAGTTAAATTGTAGCATCTGCTGAAGCCATTATAAATAAGTCTGCATTTTTCCACTGAACAGAAGTTAATTTCAAGTGGACCCATGATGTATTTTAACTATCTGTTAAATCTGCTCTATCATCAGTTTACTGCACAATTAGATGTAATATCTCTGTGAAGTCTGTGCAATCCTCAAAGAGTTGAAATCTCCCCATCATAAGAATGAGCAAGCATACATGCTAACAGATAACAAAACCAGCTTTGCAAAGCTTCATTCTAAACTAATGTTGTCAAATATTTATGACTTATTAGGTCAACGTACTCCTTCCTGAGATGATAAAGATTTGTTTAAACATTCTAGGTATTGAGAGCTGTGTGTTAAAAAATCCCTGCATTTCCTCCCTAAGTTTATCGTGACTAGTCGACAGAAACCAATATCCATGAAGATATCTGGTTGCTGTCAAACAGCTATATCGCTTACAACATTCTCTTTCCGCCAATCACAATCATTTCACGAGGAGCATTTACCAGTTATTGTCGAGGAATATCGACCCAAAAACACTCAGTTCAAGAGGAATTATATTAAGCTTTTTTCTATGAATGATGATGAATCAAAAACAACTTTTAAAAGTATCTAGGTGGCCAATATCCGAATCAAAAGTCAACATAAACACACACTTCTGAGCCTAATTAGAACTATGTCTTTGTACTTGTGAAAAATACCTGACTACATAGAACTGATTATAGCATTCACCGTGTACGTTAAACAACACAAACGATGGCTAACTCTTGGGTGATCCAAAGTATAGCCCTTATAAATCAGTTCTTTGCTCGAGTATGGGGGTGCGTGAATCGAGTCACTATGAATGCAAATTATTACAAAATTCATTCAGCATGATTGTATATGAGATTAAAAGCGAATCACCCATGTTTGGAACAAGACCATCCTTACAAACCTATGTTAAAGGCTAAAAGAGCGATGTAACGGTGTAGCTCAGTGAATTACCACGGCAAACAAAGCATACCGAAAACATGTCGTGCTTTGATACTAGCTGGAGCGAGCGACTTACAACTTAGCATGTCTGTATGGCTTCCTTGGATCACCGGAGGGACAGCATGTCTTTCGTTTAAATAAACTCTTACCTCGGGATCAATAGCCGCATTGAGATCTGCTAACTCCTCTGGAGACAGAGCTTCGACTAAAGAATCCTCATCGATGTTTTGGAACTGATCGAGATCCACAGACTCTTTTTGCTTCACCCAAGACATGGCGTCCAACTTAGTGCCCAAGTTGGTAAGATTTTGTCGAATTATTCGATGGATATTACTTCTTCTGCCAAAGATGTCCTCCGTTTGAAAAGATACAAACTAAATGCGGGTAATAAACTGCTTATTTCCCTCCTTGGACAAGAAAATTGAGGAAAAATTGCGATCACAACACTCCCTTATCTTCGTGACAAACTTCACAAGCTCGACCCAGACCCCGCGCGTTCATAAATATTCCCAACAAGTGTGATGGGCGGTGTTGAGTGAAATGGTGAGTTTTACTGGATTGTTCTGATAAACAGTCATCAAGGATTGGGCTACGTTTCAAATTTACAACGAGTTTCGATTAGAACAGCATGGTTGCCATTGCATAATAAACCAATCGATTTACGAACGTTAGTGACAACGAGACCGAGCTAATATACTAACTGAATATTTCTAAGGCATTTTTTTTCGCCAAACTGTTGTCTGTGGTTAGCTATAGTTAATAGTTTTTCTCGCTTTTTTCGATATGTGTGCACATTTACTGCACATCAGTCTTCTCGAATCAATTATTTAGAGGTTTTTGAATGTTATCGCTATCACCATAGAGCTTGGGTGTTAATATGAAAAATAAACACTTCAGACTTAATTGATTGCCTTTGTCATTACGGTTTCTTTCACATAAGAGTCACAGATTGAAAGCTGCGTCAATCCAGTCTGCGTCATTCAAATAACGACTCCAGGGAAACCGGCAGACCAATTCGAAAGCAAACAAAACTGTGATGGTTAAATTTTGTAGAAGAATGGATCAGGGATCATTCACTGCCTCCAAGCAATCTTGCAAGCGCGAAATTCTGGTTGACTGGAAGCGTTCGCATCTTTCATGTGACTAAGTTGCATCAAAAAGCCCGCCCAGCGAGCAGAAGAGGAAACTCATGTCAAAAATGTTCGATAGCATTACCAACTCTCGGCGATGTTTTGCTAATGTGCAGAACTTAATATGCTCTGGCTGAGAGAGAATATTTTTAGGAAATAAAATTGCTCATAGACGAATTTTTTCCAAGAATTCTGTTTCCCTGTTTCACTGATCTAGTGTCATTGATAAAAAGCACTTTCATAAACGGGAGTGACTTGCAAGAAACAGCATAAAAATCTATTCATGGAATTTCTCAATAAAGAGGTTAATTCACTCTTGTAAAAAGCACGAAATAATTTTATCAATCTTAAGCTGTCTGGGGTCAAATCAATCAGAGATAATAACTCGTGGAGAACATATTTGATTCTCTGTTAAAGTTCAACCAAGCATTGAACATGCCTCCATGATTCAAGCCTGTGTTCAGCCGCCCCTACCCTACAAACGAAAATTAGGAAGGGACCTCTCCCCCGATTTTCTTTCGAGTGTAGAGGGTCGGCTGAACGCAGGCTACTATTTTAAGTACGCTTATGTCTAAGGGCTTTCTCACGGTGTCAGCCCTTCCCCTAGTAGAACAGAAACTGATCGCCGACTTTTCGTAGGTAGACAAAACAAGCGGGGTATAACAACATAGGACTAGGTTCCATGTGAAAGGGAGCCGGAAGACAAGAGGGGCCTCAGAGAAGAGTGACCAGAAGAGAAATAATGGCCTGGGATTTAGGGATTAAATATTGTGGAAGGATGTAAAGATACCCATGTTAACTCTTAGCATGGCTCAAACAAAAGTTAAAAAAACTTCGAGCGATTGTAATAAGACGAAACTTACAGACAAATTGACAAACCCGGAATGTAAAAGTGTACGAAGTTTATTAATATAGCGTGGTGGTCTGATTAACAACCGGATTTTTCGTTTAAAAACTACCAGTGAAGTTGCCATGATTGCTCTCATATAAATGTTTACGCATTAGTTCAAATTCTAACAAAACCTGGCTCATAATATAATCCCCGTCAAGAAAAAAAATTGACATCACAGACTACAGGTCTAGTTGACAACCTAAAAAGTTTCGTTATTCTTAACTCTTAGTCTTTTCGACTTAACTAAGTGTTCTCGTCCAAGTTTCTGAGATTACATAGTAAGAAATGTCCTTTCTTAGTAAAACTGAATTGAATAATGCTTACAATCCGGTACGGCAATAAAAACTAATTATTGTTCTAAAATTACACGATTTCGTTACACTACAACACAATCACATTCTAAAGTACGATTCCATTAAAAATATTTCATCATTCCATTAAGAAAATCCTGCGCGAGATTATCTCACCAGGTTAAAACTGAAAAGAAAAAAAAAACAAAAACAAAAACAAAAAACAAAGAATCATTTCAAACTACATTTCTATGTAATACATTAATTCCGACGATCGTATCACTGTATAGATTTGCAAATTCACCCTAAAAATTTACTAAAAATTGTCGTCCTTACACGACTGACGCCTTTAAAAACTACCCTTTTAAGATATTTTAGTAAAGGGGAGGGGAAAAACAACAACAAACGCAAAAAAAACAAAAACAAAACAACCCAGTTGAAGGGTCTACAAGCTCGGAAATCAATGAAAAGCAGTTGACTGACAGATAAATAACATTAACAGACAACCCCGTTGCATTTGGTGGGTGTGTTGTGTAGTATCTCACTAAGCGTTCTTAGCCAAGAACTGCCCATCTTTCTATAAAAATATCGTTTGCGAGACACTTTTACGGTGTCAGATTCGTCCAATTTGGCACCGGTAGAAAAACTCTTCTTGACTTCACATCCTCTTTAAATGAGATACTGAACTTTTTGTCCTCCAATCTGCGAGAGAAATAAAAAAACACCACCATAAGCAGATTCAAAAACAAACTATCGTAAAAAAAAAATAAATAGTGACCTTCAATTTTGGTCTCACTAAAAATAAGCTCAATTAAAAGGAACTGTAATGAGCAATTGTCAGAGGGGTAGGGATACCCTGCTGGCAGAGGCGTTTATTTGTTAACTTCCCCTACGGTCCACGTAAATATGAAGTCCTTTGCGCTCGGCCTGTTAAATCTTCGAGCATGCGCCTGGGAATTATCCTAGTTTGTGGATAATCTGATTTGCAAAACCGGTCAGTACCTGTTTTAAACACGTTTTTATGCGCACGCATCCTATTTAGTTGGCCGAGTACTACCGGGAACTAATTTGTTTCTAAGCAACAGGCCGCGCATGCTCGAAGAAGATTTAACAGGCCGAGCGCAGAGGACTTTATTTTTACGTGGACCGTACGGGAAGTTAACAAATAAACACCTCTGCCAGCAGGGTAGGGTAAGGAGGGTAGAGAATTGTCTTTTACAACAAGAACTTGGAATTCTTAATGACGAATACCACTTTTATTAGAATTTGGTTTTGGTTTGGTCTCAACGACCTAAAAAAACTCAACAACTGAACTTCTACTTCAGTTGAAAGAATCATTTGCGAGCATTTTAAGCTTCGCTGGGTTTTCCCGATTGTAAGTCATTACCATGACCTAATCACACAGAACTCGTCGAGAAATCTCTTTAAAGAGGTTTTCTTTGAATCCTCTAAATTCCCTTTACAGCGTTTCTGACAACCCAACTTCAGTGGCATAATTCAACCCCATGTGAAGTCTTCCTGTCTATAAAATTTGTATGTCGATTTTTGGACAAGAAGACGTCTTAGGAAAAACTGATTCCTATTTTTTAACCAACGCCGTTATGTAAATAAACTGTCCGAAGAAACTTGCAAAAAAAAAAAAAAACTGCAGGAAAGTTATGTATAAGAACAAAAACAGTGGCCTCGAGTGGAGGTGGTGCTCCAGTACACTCGTTAAACCCTTAAGGGTATCTGACAAAAGAAATTTGAGGAGAGATCACTAACTTTTTTTTTAACGAAGTACCTTGCGAGGCCTGGTAGACACACTGACAGCAGCAGTTTCACCTTCGTGGCCCTCTTGGAACACATCCACGACACACACACTGCTACTTGGGCTGAAGTTTCGGTCACGGATCAAGAACTCCACACACGGTGCATGGCGATAAGCCTCCCAGGAATCATGGAATTCAATGTACTGTTATAAAAACACAAAAGTGTTAAAGGAGAAAACATACAGACTCAAATTTGGAGCCACTGACAACCACGCTAAGATTTTCAGTAGCAGCCGGGTTAGAGGGCAGATCTTCCGACTTGTAATGTGCTAGCTACCTGCTTATGGCCTTTAGAAAAATGTCAGCAGCGGTAAGAGCCTAGAAATTCAAACCATTAGTCTTCTTGCAATAGTTAAAAAGTTATCTAAAATGTTTCCGATCGTACAATTTGTATTTAAGTTCTTACCTTCTTGCAGCTCGATCGTGCCACCCAGTTGTTGTTGAGGTCCCTCAGCTGTACTCTGACATCACTAGCGTCTCCGTGCACTAAAACTGGTTTGAAAGGAGAAAATGGGAATCGGCCAAGCTCTGCCTCAGAGTTGCATACATCCTGAAATTCAATATAATAATTCGCTCATGATTACTTTTTTATCTCATCCCACCAAAAAAAAAGGCAAGTTTTGCATTATAAATGTGGCTGCCATGAAGAAAATAAAACTCTACTTCAGAATTCTCTTTTGTCTCATGATGTAGTGACTTCTGTTTAGGACGAGTCGTTTCGCCTTCATAAAACCTGTCTTATCGCAGTCTGCTCCTGAAACTGATAAAGCATTACCTTATTTCGAAGTTTCTCTCACAGTTGCAACTTAAGAGAGGTTCATTTCATGAGCAACAAATCATTGTGCGTCCCTTTAAAAATTGGGAAAGTAATAATTCTCAAACCTTAAACGCTGCTTCTGTGTCATCAAGCAATACCACATTTAACGCCCAGTCGTCATTGACTCTTGGAGGAGGGGCAAACACTGCCGCCAGCATGCGCTTGGTAGCCTTGCCTCGCGTATGAGGACGAGATCTGCCCACCAGGCTAAATGCTGAGAAATGATCCACGAGGACTGAGACCGAGTTGGAATCCACTTGGCACTTGTCTACACGGGAGTCGCGACCTTGAAGAGAAACGTTCTTCCATTCAGACGGCTGACCTGCGAGGCAGCGGTAACAAAACAAAATACTACATGAATTTATATTCGATGAACACTACGAGTCATTTGTCTCCTCTTGACAGAAAATGCGTCTTCTCTGATGTCTTTAAAGGCCACCAAATGTATCGTGGCTCTAATTTCAGCAACGTGTAGCACAAGAAGTATTGCTCAGTTCTCTCAGCTGAACTGGGTACTTAACTTTTGTATAATATCGCAAAAAAACTGTGGGCT